CTGGGTAATCTTGCACATGAGAAACAAAGTATTGTTGTTTCTTGCTAAGGCAATTTTGTATGAAAATTGATGTTTTAACCACAGTTCTACAGAAGTGTTGGTGAGGTCACATCTGGAACACTACATTTAGTTTTGATCTCTTTAATCAACCCTCAGGTTAAATTCACCACAAGTCATCTCTCTAACAAGAGAACAGTCCTATGTTCCTCTAGAACCAGAGCAACTTTATTAAGGTTACACGCATTAAAAACAATTCACTCGACCTGGGATTTTGGTGGTGGTGGGGACAGGTTGGTGTGGAGTAATCTTATGAGGAAAGGTTCAACAGGCTCCGCTCCTAGTCATTGGGAGTTTAGCAGAACAAGAGGATCATGTGTGCATTTTGAAGTGACTTCTTAACCACATTACATAAAAGATCCTGACAGAACTTCAGTGTGTATACTGAAAGATCTCTCATCTTATAGGAAATCTAGAGTCAAGAGTCATGGTTCTGTAAGAAGGGGTCTCCCACTTAAGAATGAGGAGGAGGAGGATTTGTTTTCTTTCAAAACGTTAGAGAGAGTCTTTGAAACGCTATTCTCCAGTGAACACTGGAGGCAGCGTCCATGAATATTACAGCATAAGTGAATAGATTCTTGACTAACAAGGAAGTCAACTGTTATTGGGAGTAGACAGGAATGTGGAGTTGAAATCACAGGGAGAGCAGCCATATTATTAATTTGTGGAATGGATGACAGAGCCAACTGGCCTATCCCTGCTCCAATTCATCTGTCCATATAGATGTTTCCTAGGGTATCAGTGGCACTGCTTTTCTCAATGTGCATCAGTGACAACATTCAACATTCCAAAATTTTTAGATGACCACCAGTGAAAGCGTAGAGAATGTGGAAGATAGCAATGATACTTCAAAACACAAATAGCTGGTAAAATGGCCAGTCACTTCACAGATGATATTCAAAGCAGTGGTGACACATTTCGATAAAGAGTAATGTGGTTAAGAAGTCACGTCAAAATGCATAGAGGATTCTTGTTAGAGGCAGAGGGACAAACAATGATGTGACCAATTCAATCTTAACTGGGGCATTGTGTACAATTCTGAGTACTTCAGCTTTAGAAAGACAAAATCTTTAAAGAGTGCAGAGATCAACAGAATTCACAATTTAAGGTTCTTGCGAAGATTTGCAGCTCAGGTTGTTGGCTTGCTCGCTGAGCTGGCTGGTTATCATACAAACGTTTCGTCACCATGCTAGGTAACATGAAGCGATGTTGTTCTACTTCACGTGGTATTTATGCGATTCTGTCTGTTAAGTTGGCTTGTGTCACTTCCGGTACTGTTCTGCATGGGTTTCTATATGGGGTCCACGTTTATTGATTGCATTATGGGTTGAAAACCAGGGCTCTAGGAATTCCCAT